CTGGTGACCCCCACATATTTTGGGRGTTTCACAGGGAAGAGGATGAGATTTACCTCAAACTAAAGAAACTTTTAGTGCCTGGCCCTGAGCACAGCAGCAATGACCACTCACGTGTGCCTTTACCACCAGGACACGCAGGAAATGCCTTTGGCTTCTCCTTCCCAAATGCACTGGGATGAAATGGATGAAAACAACCCCAATCTGGGCTGGCTCTGCACAGTCAGGATTCTGCTCGTGACTGGATGAGGCTGAACCCTGTGCCAGACCCACCCAGGGCAGGAACCCCGATGACCTCCAGGACATTCAGATCATCCCCTCCATCAAAACACACATCAGTGCTGCAAATGCACAACTCCTGCATGCTCAGAATAGCTCCACACATGTTTTCTTGGGGTTTTTTTTGTCATTGTCTCTCTCCTCTGCCTCATTTTCACAAACCCCTGGCAGAGTCAGGGGCATTAGAAGGAGACCAGCTGATGGAGTGAGGCTCAGAGTGAGATCAGAGAGAGCAATTTCCTCGGGAAATAGACCTAGGGGGAACAGAACCATTGTCATTGTTTATCTCCTTTCAGCAGGTCTTGTTTTTCCATTGGAAAAAGCCAGCAGTGCAGCMAACAGCTTCATGAATATACAGATTGTTTTTGGCAACCGCCAATTAGCAAAGAATGTGTTCGTGCAATCCCCAAGCAGCAATTTCCCTGGGAATTTCTTGTTTTGAACAAGCCATTTTCCATTAGAGAAAACACACACAGTGACAAATAGTTCTTGTTGGGTTTTGTTAGTGGGGGGAGATGGGAGAGGGGCAGGGAATCACCCTGTCACAGGGATTTTGGGAGATTTGGGCACAGACAAATCAGGAACATGAGAAAACAGAAAGGAAAATGTCCTGTGTGCACAGACATCACTGTTGGGGCTCATTCCTGCTGCAAACCTTGCAGAGGGATTTTGGGGTGTTACTCATCCCAACCTCCAGGTAAATCCTGCCCAAAAAGGGCCAGGCTGAGGTTCCCCAYGGCTCCTGTGACCCCTGCACTGACTGTGCAGCCTGGAGAGAGAAACACAACGCTCAAATCTTCCGAGCACCAGCTTTACCTGGGACACAGCGACCGAAGCACAGATCAGGGAGACGAGGCACTCTGGGTCAGCTACGATGGACAGCTTTTTATTTMCCAATGTTTTCATTTAACAAAGTGCTACATTCCAGAGTTACAGTATGAGGAGTYGCTCCTGTCCGAAATAGAAACCCACGAGGAAGCACAGGGACTGCCAACACCGCTCTGGGTGAGCAGCACAGCCCAGAGAATCCTCTCCAGGGTGAAATGTGGCCTCAGAGACCCTCCAGGAACCAGCAGCTGTGTGGTGGAGGTGAATTCCAGCAGGGCAAGAGGTTCCTCTGGTCAGAAACGGGGCTGGACATGCCAGAGTTGTTGGGTGGTGCCCAAAATAAATCCTGGTTTGTGCTATCAGGAGAACGCAAGGGAGAGGTGAGTGGGGCTCGTTGTTATTGCTGCAGTGACACAGTCACACTGTGCCAATGTCACCACCCTCAGCACTCAGGGCTGCAGTTCACCCAGCACAGAGGATGAGGAGGGCCCTTCCTGACTGCTTTCYTTGTTCTGCCTCTTCCAAAAGCACCTCTGGTGATGCAGGGGTGCAGATTAACCCAGCAGAGCCTTCCCCATGGAGCCTCAGCTCCCACCTAAACCCTCATCCCCTCCCTGCTGCCATCTCATCATTCCAAGGGAATGGATCAAGCTCCAGGAGCTGTGCAGARGTGATTTTTAGGAGCCCAACCCAGAGTGAGTTGGCCCTGAATGAGAAGGGAAGAGGCAGAGCAGTGTTTGTGCTTGAAGGAACTGCAAACTCCGTGCTGATACCGAGGGTACTGCAGGAAACTGAGCTCCAAAAAACTCCCAAAAACTTCCCTGGGAGCCAAGGCTGGTCCTGACTGCCCACCTTGCCTCCAGGTGAAGCTGAAGACATGAGGAGCCTCCAGGGCTGACCAAAACCATCTATTCCACAGAAAACTCCAATCCAAACAGCATCAGCAGGCATCTCTGCACTGCTGGGCAGCTCAGGAACTTGGCTAACACTGCTCGGGCCCCATCCCTGGGATGGCAATAAAGATGGACCACAAGAAAAACCTTTGGGAAACCCTTCCAGCTCCCAAGCCTGTCTCCAGCAGAAAGCAGAGAGCTCACATTGAGCTGAGCACGCAGCTGAGGCTCCATCCTGAAGAGTTCCAGCATCCCAGGCACCCACACTGCATCCTCTCTGAGGGAAATCTGCTCCTGAGGACACCAAAGCCCCCAGGGATGGAGTAAAGCCCCATCTCCCTCACTCTGACTGGCAGTGCTGCCTTTAATTCATTAAATTCATTATGCTGGGAGGGAGAAGAGAGCCAGGGGAGCTGCTTGCCCCCGCAGAAAGCCGGTGTGTCCCAAAYTGTGGATTTATCAGCACAACAAAAGGCCACAGCACCTCCCCACCCGCCTTCCCAATCCATCAAACTGACAGCCCATCCATGAGGATCCTCCTGAGCTGGGGAACTTACACCAGCAGCCTGCAGCCCTGCTCAGCCATCCTCCTCCTCCTCCTCCTGCTCCTGACTGACCCAGCAGCTGTGTTTTATCAGATATTTAATCTGTGCTCCAGCCCCTTGTCATTGCGCCTTTTCGGTGTGTCCCAGGCTGGACCAGGGTCAAGCATTCCAAGAACACCTCACAGCTGCCCCTGAGTCTCATTTCCAGCCTCCCTGGTGCTGCACCAAAAAGAAAAGCCTTTCCAGAGGTGATTTCCAGCAACCTGGAAAGAGGAGAAGTCATTCCACTGTGCAATCCACATCGTGCCCAGGGGACAACATTCCCTGATCCCAAATACTGCAGGACAGCCAGGRATGCTCACCTGGACTGTTGGGCACCTCCAAGCTCCAAGAGAGTTAGGAACGAGAAGGAAATAGGGAAAGATGAGTCTGGAAGGAAAAAGTCATCTAAATTTGGAGTGACCATTTATTATGTGAGAARGAGGCCTTAATTTTGGATTTAAGGGTGCATTGCCAGTCAGTGCCTGTTAAAGATGTGGGGCTGCAAAATCCTCCAGGCTGAAGGTTCAGGAAGGAAAAAGGGAGAGCTGCACTGTGGAGTCCTGGCCTGGAGCCTTTCCTGGAGGGATGAGGGGATGAAAATCCCACCAATGTTGTCTTTCCCACCCTTCTCCCCACACACCCAGCGGGATGAGTGAGTGAGGAATGAACATTAGGAGCAGTGTTTTGGAACCAGGCTGTCCTCCCTGTCACCTCAGGGATAGGGGTGACCCAGTGGATGTCACAGGCTCACAGGACAATGCCAGGGCTCTGAGCTGACCATCACATCCCTTAATGTCCAGGGGAGGCCCTGACCCCCTAAAGGGGATGTCCTTCACCCTGCAATCCTACTGACACTGCCACWGGACATTTGCTCCCCACCTTTCACCATCTGACAGGCCTTTCCACCTCCACAGGGAGTAAATCCCTCCTCAAACTCTCCTCCTCATTTCYCTCAAGGCTCAGTGGGATTCACTCTCAGCAGATGTGTGCTCTGCTCTCATTTTTCTGATCAGTCCTCTGGCAGCAGGCACTGCTCCTCACACGAAGGCTGATTCCCCACAGAACAGTGATTCCCACCTCAGAAACGTGGATGGTTTTGTGTCATATTGAAGCAATCCCGCCATGGGGATCAGGATCAATAGTGCAGCTCTTTTTCTGGCTGTTTTGACAGCATTTTTCTGCAAAGCCACATTATTGTCCCCTGCTCGCCTGTGACACCTCAGGCACGTGTCCCTCTGTACTCAGGGCTAWCAGGGCACCTCCACAACCCCTGCATCCACCTCTCCTTTGAATTYAGAGTTCCCTGTGTGCTATCTGACCCCTCCCCACACACAGCTGCCATCTCTCCAGCTCTTTCCCCACTGTCAGCCACAAACCCCAAACAGYGACTGCCACCTGCTCCACAACCTCCAGTGCCAGAGAATCTCTGGGTGCCCCATCCCTGGAAGCTTTCAGGGCCAAATTGGACAAGGATTGAAGTGACTGGGTCTGGTGGAAGGTACCAGGGCTGGAACCAGGTCACTTCCAACCCAAACTGTGATTCTACAAGACAAGACCCATCCGGATCCCCCCAAAAATGCCGTTGTTCACGCAGCTTTCGGGGRCTGAAAATGCAATTTCCAGTGGGTTTTAGGGGACAAGATGCTCCACTTTCACCTCTGTGGGAACACAGCCTTGGAAACAGATGAAGCAGTGTCCTTCCAACAGGAGGCAGGAGCTGGGGAAGTCTCTGACCTGCCTCTTCTCTCACACTGACCAAAAGCCAAGAGATCCATGCAAGGCCAGCAGTCAGCGGGCGAGCGCTGGCGTTTATTGTGCTSTAACAGACAGTGCTGGTTGGAAATGGACAGGGAATTTTGTGGTGGAATCAAGTGCTGAGGCCATTCCTGTGTTTCTCCAAGCAGCGTGGAGCAGAGCTGAAGGAAGRAAGGGGTGAGAACGGGGCACCCGARGGAGGAAATGTGCTTCAAACTGTACCAAGGACCCCGTACACGGGCACTTCTCGGGCAGCCAGGGGTACAGGCCAGGCATACAACTCATTAATTAAGCAGAGCAGCTAATCTTAGCACTAATGAACTCTAGCTCAGGTAATGTGACATTTAAAATGAACGGGACAGCAGGTCATTCATTCACAGCAAAGATTTCCATTCCTGCGATGGGTGAGAGCTATCGGTATGATTAGATTACTGCCAGCCAGGACCAAAACAGGACACCAGGGCARGAGGAAAAGAATCATCCACGTGGATCAGCTCCAGCTGAGGCTCGGAATGAGGCGCYGGGGGCGAGTGTGAGATCTCCACTACTGTACCAAAACAAACATCACGGGTGGCACACGTAGAGCGTAGCATTGTCACCGGCTGGGGACACCAGCCCTGCTCAGGGCAGCGAGGGAGCAGCACTAAAGTGGCTTCTTCTTCTTCCTCCTCTCCCCCTCTCTCCCTCCCTCCTTCCTTCCCTCCCTCCTCTGAAAAGTCACGGGCTCTCCCAAGGGCACTGCGGTTCCGTTCAAAATTCGTCTTCGGAGCTGTCGGCCAAGAGCATGACTCGGTCCTGCATGCTGTTAAATTCCCTCTGCTGGGGGAGGAAAAGAAACATCAGAGAGGTGCATAGGTGAAAAGGAGCAAAATGTGAGGAGAATTCAGATGGCCCCATCTCATAACCGAGGAGTCCTTGATGCCTTAGGACTTTAGCTATTTTTAATTTGGCTTCTGTATTTTTCATGTATCGTGTAATCCTGTAATTCTTCAGTGTTTAACTCCAGACTCCACAGACAGTGCTGAGATCCTGTTCTCCCATTTTTACACAAAACAATTCCTCCCCAGCCCCAAAATCAAGGACACCTCCTTGTGCCAGGCCCCAAGAGATGGAAACAACAGAGAATTGGGGGAGCCAACTTGGAGTCAATGACTGCATTGAGCTGCAATTGGAGGATTCAGCCCCGATGTGCAAATGGACAAAAGTGAGAAAGGGTGAAAAACCCGTGAGCCATTGTCCATTGTGGGTGTGGGACTGCCCTGAATGTACCTGAAGGGCTTTCAATAAATAGAACTGCTTTTTATTCTCTGAATTTCATCCAGCCTCTGAACAGAGGTTTTAGGTAAGCCGAATTTAGGAAAAATCACCCCGGACGCTGCAGCTCAGACAGACCCTACCCAGACTGTGTTTTTTTCATACCCCAAAGGGTTCTCAGTCCTATACCTTTCCTTGGCAGCCCCCATACCTTCCCTTGTTAGCCCCATACCTTTCTTTTGTGCCTCTTTGAGCCGTTTCTCCTGCGGCGGTTCATGATYTTGATGCTGTAGAGCGCTCCCAGGATGAAGAGGGCTCCGGCTATTCCGACTCCCACAGGAACCAGCATCCCCGACATGTATCCTGCCTGAATGGAGAAGAGAGCACAGCAACACTCCCATGACCACCCTTTTGGGGTCATTTTCACCAGCTGAGGACTGCAATATATCCCAGTGGTGATTTCCTCCAAGTTTGGGTTTGATTCCCCATCACCTGCCTGCACAGGGGCTGAGCGAGCCCCAACCAGCCCCACTCCGAGCTGGTCACCAGCACAGCTCAGCTTTTTCTGACAGATATTTGCTGCTGAGAAATGCTGAAATCCTGCATGCTCASCTGCCTTTAGGAGAGGGAACAGTGTGGGTGAGGGCTGGGGTGAAGGGTCTGTCCATAGGGAGGAAGGGGTGAAGGGAAACCTTGGCCACCAGAGGAAAGTGATCTCAAACCACCCCATGCCCTCCTTGGCTTTGTCCTCCAAATCTTGGAACCAAACACAGGAAAGGATCCCCTGCATGCAAGCAGGATGATAACATAGAGGGAGAGCASACACACTTTCAGCTGGCCTTAAGGGAAGCACAGCAAAAGTCAGTTKGTTCTAATTAAATCCAAGATCTGTATGTTTGCACTTCCCATTAAAAAAATAATGCAGATAGCATGACTAATCTAAAATTGCACATCTAAACACTTTAAATCCTTAGGAAAATATTCCCAAGTGCTAGTTATTTTATATTTTAATGCTTTAAATGAAAATTAATCTAAGTTTTGAAGTGCCAGATGSATTCAGCATCCTCACCTCACTCGGGCTCAGTGCTGCAAGGTCCAGCAGCTCTGCCCTCCCTCACTGCAGCCAGAGCCCTCTGCTGTGCCACCACAGCCTCACCCTTTGCTATCTCCACACCCCAAAACAGATTTTACACCTGCCAAGGGGCACAGGCACCGATGGTGAGGACTATCACTTCCAGCCACCCTCAGCCCTCTGCTTACAGCCACTTGTGTTCATCTGTGCTCTMAAAACACARCACAGACCCACAGCACACACACCAYGGTTACTCCTCTTCCATAATCCACTGAGTGGGAGAGGGAAAAAAAAAAGGAATTCAGGTGCACTGTCCTGCCTTTGTAAACTTATCTGGAGAATGACAATATCTGCTTTCATCTGGGCTTCCTCTCCCAAAGCCCTGCAGATCCTACTCAATGCTTTAAATAGTAAAACCCCTKTATCTGGATCCCAAACCTGAGGGATCTTCAGCTGCATCCTTCAGGCTYCCTGAGCATCCTCCCAGAAAACCCAAGTGTTGGGAAAGTGCTGCATCCCTGTGCCCCATTCCTGGGAAGGAGCTCAGTGAGGACACAGCTGAAGGCTCTGTCTCTGTGAGGCAATTAAGGTGCCTTAATTGGGTGACCCAATTAGTGCAGCGTGGYGTTTTCTATTTCTGGAACTTTGCTGCTGGCAGGGGCAGCGAGGGGAGATGAAAATGGCTTTTAGCTGCTGCCCAGTTGAGTTTCCATGGCAGAAATCACTGTTTTTAAAACAATGAGATTCTCAGCCTGTCTGTGAGCCTTTATCATGGCCCTTTACAGGGGCCATGATCAATGTTTTACACCCCAAAAACCWGGGATGTGACACAAATGCAGCCCTTCTGGGTCACACAGCCCAACTTATGGGGCTTCTGCACCCGCTTGATAGAAAACCCCATTCCCCAGGCAGCTCCAAAGCCACGTTTTTACCCCTTTATGGGGAAGATGGAGCTTCTTTAGGGATGCTTTAATCCACTGAATGCATGTCCATGACCTTTCTGGTCCTGCTGGGCTTGGAGATAACAGCAAGAGAACTTGAGAGGAACTTATTTGCCACACCAAATGCAACATTTGCAGTGTTTGCAGGAGACCAGACACGAATCTGTCCCCACCCCTGTGCTCCTGGTCCCACAATCCCCACAGCTGAGGGACAGAGAGGGACATATCTCTCAGGGAGGGGCCATCAAGTGCTGGAATCCTCTCTGGATGGAGGGATCATAAAACAGGACAGGGACAAATGAGAGGGGCACACATGGCTGTGCYGACAAACTGAACTAGGACAAGAAGGGAATGGGGTGAACAGGTTTATTTGYTACATCAGCAATTGGTTGGGAGTGAGGGGAGTGCTTTTTGTTGGATTTTTCTGAGGGAAAATGTGACCCAGGTGAAAGCTCTGCCGTTCCCAGGGGAGGGAGCTGGCTCAGGACTGAGTCTCTGTTTTTTAATCCAACACCAGTGCTTGTGCTGGGCACTGCCCCCAGCCCACCTGCACCAGCTCCAGACCCTCCAGAGCTCTGCTGGAGACAGAATAGGCAGCTCCTCTGTAGCAGGGAAGGACAGAGGTGCCAGCAAGGTGACAAGAGGGGAGAAGTGAGAGCTACACCCTCAGTGAGAAGACACTGCTGTCCCTCCCAGGCTCGTGTTGGCATGGGCAGTGACCTGTGCATGCTGCAGCCCCTGCAGGCACCTCCAGCCTCCATGGCTGCTCTTTACCTTCACTGGGAAAACCATTCTCTGTCCTCTCTGCTCGGGATGGAGCCCAGGCCAAGGAGCTCTGCTGACAGCAAAGCCTGTTGGAGCTTTACCTCCTTCCTGGTGCAGGCAGAAAGGCAACTCAGCAAGGGCTGGGCAGGAACCCACCCTAAACCCCCCCCACTCATGGAAAACAGACACCCAAACCCTCTCTCTGTGCCCTGACCCGGTGCTAAAGTGCTGCTGAATTTGGTGAGRCCCTCGTGGAAGGTTGGGCTGGCTGGGTGGGTCTGCCTGAGCTCAGAGATGCGTTTTCAGAGCTCACCATSGAGTCATGTGGTGGTTTTTGTTCCTATCGTTGCCTTGAAAGGCCAGTTTTTAATAATGATACAGATACTGTTCAGGGGATAAAAAGGGTTTTACCTCGGTATTTGGGATCCCAGGTGCACAACTTGATGGCAGAATGCACACCCGTGTACAGCACGGGTACAAGTTTTATAGGTTTCAGGAATTAGCAAATCTATCTAGGATTCCCCAATAAGATACAAGTTTTATAGGTTTCAGGAATTAGCAAATCTATCTAGGATTCCCCAATAAGAAACTTAATAAATGCAGTAATGTCCCCCTATTCTAATGAATCCCCCCAGATGAGGCCAGAGCCCAGTTTACACAGGATGTTCTGGACAGAAGGCTTCACTCAAGGCTGGAGTTGGGTTTAAGATAGCACAGGGCACACTGACTCCTTCTTTAGGATGTTTAGTTTCTCTGCCCAGCAGAACTCCTAAACTAAGCTGGAATATCAAGCTTCAGGAATTACAAGCATGTGGGCTAAGGGGTGCAGGAGAATGCATAGAGGGCACAGAAAGCAGGAAAAGGAAAAGCAAAAATCATCAGGCATCACTATTGACTCTGATCCTGTTCAAGAATTTCCAAGGCCTGTTGAGTCACAGAATGTTCTTGCCTCAGAGCACCGCTGCCACCTCATTTCCAGCCTTGTATCTCTGCTGTCACCAACACAACACTTGGGAGGCTTCACAACCATTTCCAAATGTCAATATTTGCTGCAGGGCAGCAGAGCTTGAAAAGCCATCAGTGCCTGTGGCTGGCACAACTCCTGATTCCACCAGSCAGCCCCTTGTGATGCCAGGGAGGAATGATCAGGGTTTGTTTTCTTGTCCGTTTTCCTGTGTTTGATCCTTCTCCTTCCAGGGATTTGCAGGGATGGAGATAGGAAAGGTCTCATCCAGAGGCACTGGCAGCCTCTCACCAGAGAGCAGCACCTGATTYGGATCCAGATTTGGATCCAGAACTGATTTGGATCCAGAACTGAGCTCAGCACTTTGAGAAAARGGATGGGACTGAGTTCCTTACCCTGGGATCCCTGGAAACACTCAAGGTCAGGTTGGACRKGGTCCTGAGCAGCCTGATCCTGATCTAGAGGAACTTCTCCCTGCTCAGTGTAGAGGGGTTGGACCAGATGSACCTTCTAAGGTCCCTTCAACCAAAACTATTCTATGATAAGTTAAGGGGAAATAAAAAAAAAAAGTAACTCAGGCTGCCTGACAAGGTCGTTTTCTGGGAAAAAGGGAAATCAATCCAACACCTCTGTCCCCCATTCTGCTCTTGGTCACTCCCCACCAGGGATGAATTGTGGATTCACACACTACACCCCACAGCATCTGGTTCATTTGCCTCCCAGAGAAAATTTTAAGCCCTTTCTAAATGTCTAAGCAGAGATAAAGAACTACACTGACAATAATTTATTTTTTCCTGGAATTAAAAGCGGCTTGGTTTTGAGAGGAATGGAAACACTGAGCCTCCTACCTTATCTTTCAGCTTCTCCATCCARCTTCTCACTGAAAAATAATGGAAAAAAAAGCTGTAATCGTGTCACATATTAATTAGCAACAAATGATAGTGATAACAGTAAAATAGGCAGCAATTCCCTTGACTTTATGTTAGATTTCCTCCTCTCTCATTCATGAGAAAGAGAAAAAGCAGCAAATCAAGACAAGAAACTCTTGGTGTCAGTTGGCAGGCAAGTTGYTCACTTTTGCCTGAGCAATTCACATTTTCAGAGTGATTTAAAAAGTGAGGAAAACCAGTATTTCAGTTTGTGGGGTTTTGACCATCGCTTCTCATACCCACACTGGGGTGTCTGACCAGGAGAAAACCTTACAGTGCAGTTATTCCCTTCCTCTGGCCTCCTCCACGTGGATTCATTTCCCTGTATTTGGGAATTTAGCCTRTAATGATGGCTAAAAATTTATTATTCCCTGTCTTTTATTCCCCTGATTTTCTGGAATAATSCCTGCCTGCTGTGGGAAGCCACTGGAGGACTGGAATAATATTGGAGGTGCTAAATTACTAAAACAASCAAATTTATTCTGCAAAAGCACTGCGACTTCCTTCTCCTAACAGTTAAACAAGTCCCGTGAAATACAACAGCTGAGAATTAAAACTCTGCAATGGCAGGTGCTTTGGGCTGAAATATTCACTAATTTCAAGAACTGCAAGGGGTGCAGGAGTCATTCACACCACAGGGCACTGTGTCTGCACTGCACAGAGGGCAAAACACCCACAGAGATCCACTGAGATTTTAACAAATTCCTGCTCGTAGGCAAGAAGCAATAAACAGTTCTATGTTGTTTTTTTTCCAGGGCTCAGCAGTTGTGTTTTTTCAAGGATTCCCACCTTTCCAGGAGGACAATCCTACAAGCACAAGGGGAGTCTCGGATGCAGCAATGTCCTTCTGAGTGACATTTCTTCCTGGGGGTGTTAAATCCCAAATGCAGCACACAGTTTATGGATTTAGACCCTATTTCTAAGGCTGCTTTGTTATCAAATGTCCCTTCAAAGCCCAAATTAGCAGTGTCAGGGTCTGCACGTGCAGCACTCAGAGAAACCTTTTGAAAGGAGCCTTTTTGTGAGTGAGGAGGGGGCACAGGAGGGCCCTTTATTTTATCTCAGATAAAATAAAAGTTCAAAGCAATTTGAATACTCCCTTTGAAGCGTTAGCAACACAAACACCTTCCAAACACAAGGACCCCAAATTAGCCAAAGGTGACAACGTGTGAGGCAGGCACAGGTGTGCTTATCTCCAACAGGGAGATGAGGAAAAAGATGAATTACCCAGGAGACAGACACACACAGCACGAGAAGAGGACACAAGGTCAGCTTTTATCAGCTCTTCCCAACATTAGTCCTGGCCTGCATGGGCCAAGGGTAATAAACTCAATTTAGAAAGTTTGTTAGGAAGTTTATTAGGAAGTTTATCAGGAAGTTTATTAGGAAACCACCACTGCCCTTCTGCTCCAGTTGAGCTAAGAATATYCTGTTACCTGTTTTTAATGAACACAGATTCTGAATTTGTTCCCCTCTGCTCCACAAAACAACAGCAGCAAGCCCACCAGGCCCACAGGCTCGGTAGTACAAATCTTTATTTGCTGTTACACATTTGTTATTAAACCCAGCCTTGTTTTCGGCCACGCAGAGCACATCAGGAGCCTTTGGGAATCGACTCAGGACACAGAAAAAACAGCACAAGGTGATTTCTCCTTAACCAGGTGCCTGTCCAGGCAGCCAAAGCCTCTGATTTCTGGTAAAGGAAAATAAAAGCCCCAAATTAATGASTTTCAGGCAGCAGGAGGTCAAAAACCTTTCAATGTCCTGGCAGGACTGAGTGGGGAGCGTGGAGCTGTTGGAGCTGTCACAGCCAAGCTCCAGACTCTGGARCTGTCAGGCTGGGGCCAGGACAAGTCAAGGAGCCCTGGATTTCCATGAATTACAAACTCTTTTCACATCACTAATGCACAGAGCTGTTCAAACACCTCTGAGGACAGGACAAGGCACTGTGTCCCCCAAACCAAGAGCTCGCTGCTCCAATTATTTACTCCTGTGTGAGCAGGAGATAAAGCAATTGTTTCCAGTTAGAATTTATATCTGTGCTAAGCAGCCACCATCAATTAACTCCAAAYTTCAGACTCTAATTAAGCAATAATATCCATAATTAAAACAGTGASTTTGGTCTTGGGAGAGGAACATTGTGGCTGGCACCTTCCCATGAAAATGCCACGCTCTCCAGGAACACCAGGTGAGATCTGCCAACGAGGCCAAGCAAATCAGTCAGAAATACTCCACTCCACGTGTTTTACGTGATCCCCTTTCCTTCCCTGATCAGTGAATATCCTGAAGAAATCACAGCAGTCTCAGGGGGTGAATTACTAMCAAGTGTCTGCAGTTCTGGCTCATCTTCCACAGCACTTTCAGGATCATGATCCATCCAAACTCTGCCTCAGCTCAATTTTGATCCCTTGGTTTCAAAGGGAGCTGAGTAAGAYGAGTGTGGAGAGCACTTCTGTAAATTACACACACAATCTGACATTTCCTCCATGATTTATACAATGTCTGCATCTCTGCAAATTAATTTTAAATAACTAACTTAAGATTAAGCCAGTCGGGAGCACAGAGGAGGAGCAGTGGCACCAGAGCAGCCCAGGATGAATTCACACGGTTATAAATGTGCTATTTTTACTCAGTTTTACCCAACTTTCCCCTTCTAAACGTGCTGCCAGCTAAGTGAGGCTCATTTGCAGAGGTGAGCAGCAGCCTGGGATGTCTGCCTGGCCCAAAGGAAGAGCCAAAATTCCCTGTGAGCAAATCCCTTCTGGAAGTTCTGGATGCAGGCAGGAGGCTGGGGAGGGGACAGCAGGGGACATCTGAGGGTGTCTGGCACTGCTCAACATCAGAAGGAGACCTGARGTCTCTCCAGAGCCTTCCCTTCTCCAGGCTGAGCACTCCCATCTCTCCCAGCCTGACTCCAGAGCAGAGCTCCAGCCCTCRRAGCATCTTTGGGGTCTCCTCTGGACTCCTGTTTATGTGGAGGCTTTCACTCCTGATCTGCCTCCCTGCTGCTGTCCACCCTCAGATAAATTCTTTTTCATTGYCCAGCTCTCCTGAGCCCCTTYTRTCCTGGGTTCTGGGTGCCAGAGCCTGCTCTGCCTTCAGCCTCACCTCAATTCCCCATCATCATTGAGATGTYTCTCACCAAAGCCTTTTTTCTGCCTCCCTCTCCCCCCTCCTCTGAAATCAGGAGCACAAGTCCTCGGGGCCTCTTGCTTTGCCAACTTTTAGTAATCCTAATTGCCTAATTATCCACYCCAATGCAATGATAAAGCTGCTTAATAATTCTGTTCGCTTCCTCATTCATTCTTTCCCTTCCCAGATAAGAAAATGCAAACACTTCTGGTGGAGATTTCAATCAATAATTCATGTCCCACTGCCATCAGTTCTGTCTCCCCCTCTCCCCTCTCAGATGCCCTGCTGCTTTGTCTTGTCACTTTAGTTTCATCTAATCAGCTTGTTTTAATCATATTCTCTTTTTTAATCAYCAGTTAGAGCAATTCTGTTTTTTTGTGGCACGTTATCGCTCATCCCCACAGATGTCGCCTGATTTTCAAATCCAGCTTCATTCCACAACTTTATCAAGTTTATTCAATAAAATAAACTGTCTGGTCTCCACCAWGACCACCAGAGCAGTGGGGAAAATGTGGCACCCAGGCTCCTACACACCATCCAAAGGGCAGGAAAAAATACGATTTTATGGTTAAGAACCAACGTGGGGATCAGGCAACTGCCCCAACCATTACACTTCATATTCTTTAAATGCAATAGGCTGAGAGAGCAGCACCAAACTTCACTGTGGGACATAAGAAAACAACAGCCATGCTCAGAACATGAAAATAATTTGATTTAACAGCCACTATTAATTGTTTTCACATCTGTCTTAGATCAGATGTCCCAATCTCAGGAGCCAGAGGAGCTGTTTGGCACAGATCACCTTCATCACTGCCATCACCTTCTTCCCTAAGAAAAGTCCATTTCCCTCTTCCACACCTTCCCTGCTCCCCTGCTCTTCCCATTCCCAACGTGAGGTGCCTGGGGTTTGCTGCTGCTTCTCATTGGGGCCAACAATTCATCCTTATTCCTCATTCACAGCATCACTGAAGGGTTTGGGCTGGAAGAGACCTTAAAGCTCATCCCATTCCACCCTTCCACCATCCCAGAGTGCTCCAAACCCCGTCCAATCTGGCCTTGGATTATTCCAGGAATGGAACAGCCACAGCTTCTCTGCAGCCAGGGCCTTTCCACCCTCACAGCCACAATTTTTTTCCTTATATCTAACCCAAACCTGCATGTTTTCAACAAAAGAGTGTAAAAAATCAGGAAAAGATTGATTACTTTCAATCAGTCTGTATATAAAGCAAGCAACCTGCCCTGTTTAATTACAGATTTCATCCCTTTCTCTTGCAGGTTAAACTTTTCTCCCAAATGAGACTTGTGAGAACAATTTTGCAGAATTTTGCMGTGCTTCATCTGCTCAGCTCTGACAACTTAATGGCACAAGGGTGCATCAGCTCCTTTCCCTTAAAAAAAGCACAATTTTCAATTTACTTACTAGCACAAATAAATAATAAAGAAAATGGCATCTGGCTGCAAGTCAGTGTATTTTTAATTCCAGAACAGCTTCACCTACCTGATGGGAATGTTGATGCAGGAATTGCCCAACTTGAGAGGGCTTGAACAGCTGGATAATCGAACAAATGTCAAACTGACAATTACCATTTGTGTTTTCAGATAAAAATTTTGTTTGGCTGAACTCGGAATTAACCCAGTGAACTTCAGTAGTTGCCATGGAACGGTTTGGTCTCTGAACTGCACCCTTTTCCCTGCCTGTCCAGCTGCAAAAACCTCAGCCTGCCACAACCTGCAAAAATCTCTTGGAAGAGAAACRGAGATGGGGAGGGAACTCAGCACATCCCAGAAAGCAGAAACCAAAATGGGCTCCCTTC